ATCACCCCATTACTACAATACAAACTGGGCTAATAATTCACTAACTAGCAAAGGATATGAACAAATGTGCACACGTGGCAACATGCAGCTCTCGCTTTGATCTTAAAACAAGCGCATCTACGCACGACTACTCATGCTGTAAACACAGTCCAGTTCAAACTGAATGGCACAGATCCATATATGGCAATGGTCTATTTGCATATAGGCCTACTGCAGCTCTGATTGGTTTGTGTAGAGTACGGGCTGAGTCGTGCGTGTCAATGCAATAGAATCCTACTCCGATGCGTTCTGCCTACAACAAAATCTCTTGCATAGTTAGTTTAGCATACTAAGTCTTGCATAATTCATTTGGTTTCGGTATGTTGCATTGAAAGTGGCTAATATTGCGTTGATTCGATCACAATTCCCACAGTAAAGGGAAACGTTGGTAGTGTTAACTAAGGAGGAAAAAATGTTGAGTGAAGTTCAATCTCTTGCTTCTCTGCGCGGGCTGATATTTATTCTGTGTGGCAGTCCCGGGGAGCTGCGTAACCTGCGCATGCGCGTAGCTTAGAGGGAACATTGATGTCATTAAAGCTCCTTGAATTGAATGTAAGTGAACACAAAGAGAAAAGGAGAAAGAGAGGAAGAGAAAAAAAGAAAGACGGGAGGATGATAAACAGGGGTGTTATACAGACATATTAGTACACACAAGCACGCTCACTTCTGTTTCTCCACTTTGTAAGAGGCAGTGAGGTCATCAAACAGCTTGCTGTTCATCTCCATAAAGGTCTTCAGAACGTTGTAGATCAGAGAGACTATAGTCCTGCAGAGAGAGAGAGGAGAGAGAGAGAGAGAGAGAGAGAGAGAGAGAGAGAGAGAATTGGAGGGATGATGTGGATGTTGTGGTAGGTTCTGTTGTTTCTTTGTGTTTTATTGCTCTGTGCCCTTTCTGCTGCTGCTCTCCTCGCTCTCTCTCTCTTCTCCTCTGCTCGTCTCGTCCTCTCGTCTCTCCCCTGAGGGGAGGGAGGAGGGAGGATGGAGGAAGGACAGGACCAGAAAAAGAGTGAGGGTGGGGTTAGAGAGGTATATCTGCAAAGATTCACAGTTCATACAGACTTAGAGAGCAAAGGTTATAGGTTAGGGGTTAGAGGTCACTCACTGGTTCCAGTGCTCCTTGGACACTGTGTAGAGCGTGGCGAAGACCAGAGGTAGAATCACCTGACAGTTCTCCTCTATCAGAGACAGGATGTACTCGTTGTTCCAGAAGTACAAAGCCCTCTCCGCTACCTACAACAGGGAAGGAGGAAGAGATGGAGAGAGGGAGGGAGAAAGAGGAAGAGAGAGAGAGGAGAGAGAGAGAGAGAGAGAGAGAGAGAGAGAGAGAGAGAGAGAGAGGGAGAAAGATTGAAGGATGGAGAGGGATAAAGGGAGAGAAGTAGTGAGGGAGAAGGAAGTAAGAGGGAGAGAGGGAGGAATGGATGGATGGAGGGAGAGCAGAAGGGGAATAGAGGGAGGAAGACAGAGAAAGCTTAAACTGACTGTCCAAAACATTAGGAACACCTTCCTACTATTGAGCTGCACCCCTCCTTTTGCCCTCATAACAGCCTCAATTTGTTGGGGTATGGACTCTTCAAGGTGTTGAATGCGTTCCACAGGGATGCTGGCTGGATGTCCTTTGGGTGGTGGGTCATTCTTGATACACACAGAAAACTGTTGAGCGTGAAAACTCCAGCAGATTTGCAGTTCTTGATTGTCTCAAGGCTTAAAAATTATTCTATAACCTGTCTCCTCCCCTTTATCTATACTGATTGAAGTGGATTTAACAAGTGACATCAATAAGGGATCATAGCTTTCACCTGGATTTACCTGGTAAGTCTATGTAATGGAAAGAGCAGGTGTTCTTAATGTTTTGTACACACAGTGTATAACAGTAGAACAAATCTTTATTGTCCAGAGAAGTTTTCCTTTGCAGTTTGTTAGATCAATGTGAGAGGACAGGGATTGGCTGCCCAGATGTGGTGGGCATGGCCTAACCTAGGAGTGTGAGTGTGTGTGTGTTTGTTTGTTTTAATGTGTGTGTGTTTGTGTGTGTGTGTGTGTGTGTGTGTGGATGTCCCCACAAGTATAGTAAACAAACAAAAATTTGAACTGGGGACATTTTGTGTTCCCCACAAGGTCAAATGCTATTTCTAGGGTGTTTAGGATTAAGGTTAGAATTATTGTTAGGGTTAGAATTAGGGTTAGGGTTAGGGTTAAGACCTAGGGTTAGGGTTAGGAGCTAGGGTTAGGTTTAGGGTTAAGGTTAATGTTAAAGTTAGGGTTAGGGGTTAGGAAAAATAGGATATTGAATGGGACTGAATTGTGTGTCCCCACAAGGTTAGTTGTACAAGACTGTGTCTGTGTGTGTATGTGTGTGTGTGTGTGTACCTGGAAGTGTGGGCTGGAGATGCAGGCAGCGATCTGTTTGAAGAGAGGCTCCTGAACACGGATAAACTGAGATGGCTCGATCACATCCAGTATCTCCTCTATCTCCCCTAGGAACATCACCTACAGACGCACAGACAGATGCACATGCACACACACACAAGAAAAACACACACACGGATGAAGAGACGGATGCACACAAACATACACACACGCACGGACAGACACACACACACAGATGCACACACACAGACTCACACACACAGGAGAGAATCACACCATGAGTTTATATCAAAATACACACACAAAGATGTCTCACCTCTTTCTGGGTGCAGGTTTTGGGCCAGTACTTGAGGAGCCCTCGTATGATCTGAACAGAAAACAAACAGAGGCAAAGTCCAGCAGGGTGTTACAGTGTTTTATGGATACTGGAAGTTACAGTGTGGGAAGTGACTAACGACAGTTGGGTTGCAAAATTCCGGTAAACGATAACCCAAAGTTCCCAGGTTTTCCCAAAAATCCCAGTTGGAGTATTCCTGGAATAAGCAGGGAATATGCAGGAAATCTTGCAATCAGGATTTCTGCAAGGCCTGGGATTTTTAGGGAAGTTACTGTAATTTTACAACCCTAAATGACACAAAAGGTGTTCCTTACGTATTCTGTGACTGTAGAATCTTTCTCCATAAACTGGACCACACAGTACGCCAACTGTAGAGTGGTAGATACATACAGCAGGTTAACACACGTATACACACACACATACAGCCCAGCTAGCACATAATGTTCTGAGAACCATATGTTCCTTTGAGCTTGGTGAGAGCGTGGTTGTCCTATGGTTATTTTGCATACAACCTTCCCATAACTCTCTGGGAATGGCGCCAGATAGTTGCTTGGCTTTAGAACATTCTCAGCACATTTAAGGAACTTGACCCAAAAAAAATATTTTCTTGGAATTTTATTACATTAAGAGAATGTTTCCTAAAAGTTCAAACATGGTTACATTTAATTTCAGTTTGGTAATAATAATAATATGCCATTTAGCAGACGCTTTTATCCAAAGCGACTTACAGTCATGCGTGCATACATTTTTGTGTATGGGTGGTCCCGGGGATCGAACCCACTACCTTGGCGTTACAAGCGCCGTGCTCTACCAGCTGAGCTACAGAGGACCACATGTTCTAGGAACATTCTCCAACTGCTTTGACATTGGGAATGTTCTCAAATAGTTCCAAGAACGTTAAGAAACAACGTTCTTCTATAGGAATTTCAGTACGTCTGCATAATGTTTCCTACAGGTTTCCCAATGGTTGTATTTAAAGTCATGTTCTCAAATTGTTCCAAGAACGTTAATAAAATGTTCCATAAAAACCACAAGAAAACTTTTGTAACGTTCAGAGAACGTTCTAAGAATGTTATTTAAAAACATATGCATACAGTAATTAGTGCTTGTTTCCTTTAAAATGGGGTCTGTTTAAATAGACAAAAATTAACAGCTTTGTATGCGTAAAAAAACATGTTATGCTAGCTCCATCCTGGTGGCACAGTGGACTAATTCCATGGATATAGAAAATAAGATTATAAGTTCAAATCTCACTGATGCCGTGTCACAATAAAACATAAATGTGTTTGCATGATTAATGCCTAAGTAAATGAATTTCCATGTGTTTGGAGTTCAAAAAAGTTAACTCAAAATTTGCTCCTTGGAATTTGTGGAAACGTTCGTTTTTGGTTTCCCATTGGTTCTGGGAACGAAGCCATACGTTTCCTGACCAGTAAAACAATGTTTTTTCAATGTTCTGATAACGGATGTGAAAATTAAGCCTGTTCTGGGAATGTTATTTTTTAGGTTGCAGGGAGGTTCTGAGAACATTTTACTATAGTTCCCTGAAAGTTTTCCTGGGAGGTTTTATTAACATTCTGAGAATGGAAATGATAGGTTATTTGAAGGTAATTAAATAATGTTCTGAGAAAATGTTTCGATAAGACTTTTAATAACACTGCTAGCTTAACTGTGTTGAATGCTTAGGCATTAATCATGCAAACACATATCATTTTATTGTGGCACAGCGTCATTGAGATTTTAACTTATGATCTTCTGTTCTCTATCCATGGAATTAGTCCACTGCGCCACCAGGATGTAGCTAGGATGCCATGTTTCTTAACTCATACAAAGCTGTTCATTTTAGTATATTAAATCAGACACCATTTCAAAGGAAACAAGCACTCATTAAGATCAGGTGTGGCCAATTAGTGGGCGCAGCCAACACACCTGAACACACTTAACAAGATACAGAGTAGAGAGAGTTTTGCTGATGCTGAAAACGGAATGTATATGTTTTTAAATAACATTCTTATTGTTTTATTGTGGTTTTTATGGAACGTTTTCTTAATGTTCTGAGAACATTACTTTAAATAGAAACATGAGGAAACCTGCAGAAAATGATGTGCTGAACTACTGAAATTCCCCCTTAAGAACATGGTATTTTAACGTTCTCAGAACGTTCCGAGAACATGACTTCAAATAGGAACATGAGGAAACCTGTAAAAAACGTTATGATGAAGTACTGAAATTCCCACCTGAGAAACATGGTTCTCAGAACGTTATGTGCTAGCTGGGTATTCTGCACCATTCCCAGAATGTTGTGGGAAGGTTGTATAATAATATGCCATTTAGCAGACGCTTTTATCCAAAGCGACTTACAGTCTTGCATGCATAATTTTTTTTGTGTACGGGTGGTCCCGGGGATCGAACCCACTACCTTGGCGTTACAAGCGCCGTGCTCTACCAGCTGAGCTACAGCTACATGTTTATGCAAAATAAACATAGGACAACCAAGCTCTCACCAAGCTCTAAGAAACATTTGGTTCTCAGAACATTATGTGCTAGCTGGGCTAGCAGTGTTATTAAAAGTCTTATTGAAACATCCAGTGAAAGTTAAGGAAGTTATTCAAAACCTCCAAATAACCTATAATTTCCGTTCTCAGAACGTTAATAAACCCTATCAGGAAAACTTTCAAGGAACCATAGTAACATTTTCTCAGAACCTCCCTGCAATTTAAAATGTAAGACTTATGGCTTCGTTCCCAGAACCTATGGGAAACCAAAAACTTACATTCCAATAACATCCAATGAATCAAATGTGCTAGCTGGGAGTACTGTATACTGTGTACACACTAAAATATTGTATTTTATACATGCATGCACACACATTCAAATACGCCATCTGATGGCGCCGGAGGGTATGGCTGCCGTTTTATGGACTCTTATCCAACCGTGCTATTTTGTGTGTTTTTTTTTTTTTTCGGCCCAGTACATCACTGGGGCTAAGCTTCCTGCCATCCAGGACCTCTATACCAGGTGGTGTCAGAGGAAGGCCCTAAAAATTGTCAAAGACTCCAGCCACCCTAGTCATAGACTGTTCTCTCTGTTCCCGCACGGCAAGCTGTACCGGAGCACCAAGTCTAGGTCCAAGAGGCTTCTAAACAGCTTCTACCCCCAAGCCATTAGACTCATGTACATCTAATCAAATGGCTACCCAGACTATTTGCATTGCCACCCCACCCCTCTTTTACACTGCTGCTACTCTCTGTTTATTATCTACAGTTGAAGTCGGAAATGTACATACACTTAGGTTGGAGTCATTAAAACTTGTTTTTCAACCGCTCCACAAATTTCTTGTTAACAAACTATAGTTTTGGCAAGTTGGTTAGGACATCTACTTTGTGCATGACACAAGTAATTTCTCCAACAAATGTTTACAGACAGATTATTTCACTTATAATTCACTGTATCACAATTCCAGTGGGTCAGAAGTTTACATACACTAAGTTGACTGTGACTTTAAACAGCTTGGAAAATTCCA